ATTGAGAAAAACAATTAAATGGCCTAAAAAGGTAGTATTATATCTCGTCAACTGCGGCCTGTTCAATGCATTCAAGATTTATAATTCGTGTAATGATGAAAAAATGAAATATAAAGATTTTCTACTTGCTGYGATGAAATTATGGACGACGRAAGAAAAATCAACRGATACATTTATGGACATAGAACAAGGTATTTYAAATACAACAAATCATCTACGTGTCGACCCACCATGTAGACTCGCTGGTAATATGAAACAGCACGTACTGGAACCAATAACGAGTAAAGGCAAGAAGAAGTTCCCAACCAAACAATGTAAAGTTTGTTCGTCCAATGGAAAAAGGAGCGAAACAAGATACTGTTGCAAATTATGCCGAACAGCATTGCACAAAGGAGTATGCTTTACCAGATACMACACTCTAAAGCATTATTCAAGTTTGTAAAATAAATAATATTATAGTTCAAATGTAAAAGTTGATGACTTTTTATTTTAGTCTTCAATTTGATGAGTAAAAAAAAAGGTCATCAGGTTTTCTAAATTACAAATTGAACAGTGATAATTATATATTTAATGTTAAATAAAAAATTATCGTACAAGCTGAATTTTGGATCGTACAAGGCTTCAAATTATGTGACGCGTACGATAATTATCGTACGAATGGGATCACTACTCGAATTTGGGACCCGTGGTAAACTCCACAAATTCACGCTGGTCGTTCAGCATGTTAATAGTATATTGTGAAACTAGTGCGACGTTGTCGATTACCCACGAGAGTGAAGTTAAACGCACTCGCTTCGGGGGGTTGGCTCTGAAATGAAGAACTTTATTTAATTTGAAAAACTTATTAATCTTATCGTCTAAGATAGCGTTTTTGAACAATAACTAAAATAAAGAAAGAACTACATATTAATCTTATCGTCTACAATATTGACACTTTGATTGTCTTTTTTTTATCGTCAATTTGCGTGTGGCAAGTATAATTTGGGTGCGACAAGTAAATTTTTCGCACTCAAATTGTAAACTAGGCAAACAGCGTTTTTTCGACCCCATTAGCGACCGCAAAGATAGTACTTTTCCCGCATGAGTAATAAAAAAATGTTTTTATTCTATTGAAAAATGAACAAAAATTTCTTTATTACGTAAATATTATAATTATTTATATAATTTTTTTATATGCCTGTGTCAATACAAGTCTTTGTATATTTTTTATAAAATCATATAAAAATTAAGGGGACCTTCTACTCTGCAATTTAAAAAAATTTTTTTTTTTTTTTTTACATTTTTCGAATGTATATATATGTAGAAATATTGTGTTAAAATTTCAAAAAGATCCGATGTCTCTAACTACATATTTGGTGCCTGAACGTAACTACCTCGGACCGCTTTCCTGAGCGTTCGGCGCGCACGGACGACTCTTATCTTGTTCAATCCCTTTCTCTTTCATTGTTTATTCAAGCAGTTTTTTTTATTGTAATCTGTATAATGCTTCGTATTGTCAGGTATATTTTTTGGGGGATCAGACATAGAGAAATATATAACTGTCTGAAGATGATGATATATAGATTATTAAATTATGATGATGTTAATGAGCTAATAATTTGAATAATACGTGGCCCATTGCTGGGCCCATTAATCGGCCGATGATCAACTACCATTAATGGGCCGATAATAACTACGATTAATGGGCCGATGATAACTACCATTAATGGGCCGATGATCACTACCATTAATGGGCCGATGATAACTACTATTAATGGGCCGATGATAACTACTATTAATGGGCCAATGATCAATTACCATTAATTGGCCGGGGTTATCATTTGGATATTCAGTCCTCTATGGGCCATTAGAAAACGTCAATGATCGGCCGTTAGTTGTCATCCTTTGCCCGGCGATTGGCCATCCAAGGTCCTGTTTTCAAACTTTGTAAGGGGAATTATTAATATCCCTCGACTTGAANCTGAAAAATAGATAATCTGTTTAAATTATAAAAATACTGGATTTGTTTAGTAATATATATTAAATATATTGAATAACATATTACGAATAAAAGCTCAATAACTCTTATTTTAATTTTAAAACAGATGAAAAGTATGACAGTAAAAAAGGAAGACAAAAACAAAAGATCAGTGCTGCTGAAAGCAAAATGGTATTATATTCTTATTTTGAAACATTTATTATTTATGTTTATGTTATATAAATATGTAAATTAATTGTAAATTTAAAAATAATAATTGTATCTTTTTTAGAAGTGTGAAAGTGGAATAAAATCTGTTGACGAAGAGACCATTATGTCTTTGCTTGCTGAAAATCTATCTATATGAAAATCTATGAGGGCTATCTATAAATTGTATATATTTAAAAAAAAAAAGTAATGAACTGCACATAGCATAAGTGAGTAGTTAGAATTGTACATTTGAAATAAAATAAATTTGTATCATTTATATGAATATATCTATATTTGTTTATTCATTTGTTCCGTTGTAAAAATATTATAAAATTATAAATAATAAAATTAACATCATTATTAACAATGCACAATATATGTGCAGCAAATACATAAATTAAATGTTTAAAACTCTTCATTTCATAGTCGCAGATCCATACACTTTGGTATGACGTTTGCAGTTCTCATAATAATTTTTCACCCAATACGAACGAACATTGAAAACATGTTTAATTATTTTGTACTTAACATAACAACAACTTGGAAAATCAATGTTGATTTTCTCAAATAATACTTTTAATAAATCACTGTTACTATTTCTAATTATCACATCTTGGTACAAAGTGAAATAAAGTTCACAATGTAAAATTAAACTATAAGTTTCCATACATGGTTCCTTTAAACCACCTTTGTTTAACCCTTTGGTGTAATACTTTGCTTTTTTTATAAAATATATATTTGTCAAATTTGAAGTTGTCAAAAATTGCACACAATTTCTACAAACACGTTTGGCTACAGCATTAGTTGTGCTGCCAGCTAAATAAAACATGCTATTTGCATCATAACGAAAAATCCAATTGCTAAACTCATCAATTAAAAATGTTTGCACACAAAACTGAGTATCACTTGTTTGTAGCTTTTTTACTGGAGGTTCAACAGTCTTATTTGCAGCCAATACTGGATGGTTATTACAAGCAAGCGTTAAAATAAGAAATTGTAAACTTTACAATACTATGATCGTTCAATTTATATACAAAAAGAATAAACATACCTTCAATTTTTGCTAGACAAAGCCCAAAAATCTTTGTAGTGAGCTTAGAAACTTTTATTGAAAATGTATTTTTCAATATGTTTTCAGACAGATATTAATAGTTGTTTACGACTATTAAATGACTATTAATCGATTTCAATAAAATTTCTTCTTCATTCATTCACAAATAATTAAAAAAATTGCAAAAAATAACGATAAAACCTACAGACTAACACTCACTACATACGTTTTTTTAAAACTTCCGCTCACTCGAGGAGTGAAAATGGGACTACACTAGTAATTAGTAACTTCGGTTACACTCGACTTCTTTCGACATCCCAAACACACGGACATGGAAAACTTTCATTGTGTGCAATCCCAGTGGCACAGGGAGAGGGTAAGATTTACCCACGATCTGACAGCACTGCCGTGGAGCATTGCGTATTCGTAAACATACATGTGGGTAAATATTTTTTAACGATGTTCAACATTTTTCTGTTTTTCAAGAAATAAAAATAGTATTGTTGAAAATGGTGAAAAAGTGTGAAAGCTATGAAAAATTGTTCCAATGGCTCTTTAGCTGAAAGGAAATTAAAATCGGAGGTAAATCAATGATAAACAGCTTTATTTAAAGTACCAAAAGTAAGATAACCTTACATCTCAGTAAATTTAAATTATTCCTAATAAATAAAATTGATTACAAAATATAATTCAATTGATTTTCATTTAATGCTCTTTCAATATAATGACTATAGTATTAAAATAATTCTTAATGTACACTTGGCGAGTATTTGACAATTGACGTATATAAAAGTGCCATATGAAATAAATAATATACAATAAAATGTATATGAATAAACAATGCTTATTAAAAAGTTTATAAAAAAGTAAAGTAATTACGTATGATATTTAAGGTAGCTTATGAACAATATATTATCAGTTAAAAAAAAAAAATTATTTGTATAACAAAAATTAAAATTTTTAACAGTTTAATATTACGAATAGTATAATATCAATTTTAATGAAATTAATTGAATTATTTCGATGTGATCAGTAAATTTCAACGGTGATATATACATTAATTAATAATTACAATATTTGTTATTGTTTTATGTAAACTAGGACCCCGAAATATTGCAACTATGGAGCTCAGCAATATCTCAACAACTTTGTCAAAAAAATTGGATCTGCAAGTTGCATTTTAACAGTGACGATATTCTTAAAAATTTGGAAAAAATAAAGTTGCAAAATGGCGAAGTCTGAACTTTCAAGGCCTACAGTTGCTTTAAAAAAGGGTGCAATTCCAATGTTGGCAATGGCAAATGTTGTCACGAATGGTGATACAACTTCATCAAATCATTTTCGTACCAACAATCACTATACTGATAATGAGTATTTGCACGAAACAAGAAATGTAAGCGATTTGTACGAGTTAGACCAACTATTTGGGATATTGCATCTACTGAAGGACCAAGGAGTGCCCTAAAATTGGTGTTGGCCAAAACAAAATTATCAAATAAAATTGCTGATGATTTGACAGTTCAGGTATTTCAAGTTAACTATAAGTGCATGCTTGGCCACAAGCTATGATTTCACTTGTCGCTATTTAAATTGTTTTTTTATAGGTAACTATCTTGGCAACGGAAGTTTCTATTAATTTGAATTATACAATAATATCGGTAGCATTATTTTGGAATATGCTACGAGAAATAGAAACTTGTCAGTTCTGTAGCGGCGCTGGATTTAACGGAAGGTTTGTTTTTATTACTTTTTTTACTTTTAAAATAAATATTTTCAAGCACATTAAATTCTTATAAAAGACAGGTATATAATCAATTTTCTTGAATCAACCAAATTTTTTTTGCTCCAAGAAAATTACTACTTGTTACAAAACAACCTTGGTCATTTTTTAAATTGTCTTAGCTGGAGAAAATTTGTTATGTAAAATAATCAAAAAATGAAGGCAAATTTAAAAATCGATTTCTTGTAATAACTTTTGATATTTCTTGTATAGTTTTATAGCTATTTTGGAAGTACATGGACGCTAATATAAATTCTTCGTTAACTTATCTTATTCTCGTCATTTTTGTCATTTACAAGTTTTTAGGTACAGCTGAAAAATAATATATTTAGCTTTAACATTTTACTATTTTTTTAATAGATGCTCAACCGCATGTCAAGGCATTTTACTATCCGATAAAAAATATAAACGATCTAAAAGAGAATATATGTGTTTGGCTTGTCGTACATTACGGAAGAGATTATTAATATCTTCAAAGAAAAAGAAAGATGTATACTTCATACGAAACAATAACGTTTACGTCGTCTGTATTAAAAGGTAATCAAAGTTTGCGTAATGTAACTAAATTTTACAATTCCTTATAATATAGGGCCAGCAGTTAACACATTGCGTACGGGTCACGAGATATCTCGTTTTTAGCAAATTGAACGTTGCGTACGGGTTACGAGATATTTCGTTTTCATGTTTTTTTTAACCGTTTGAGTGCCACGGGCTTTTCTCATTTCCTGATCGAAACTTGCCAAGCGGCGCGATAGCGCTTGTTATATTATATTTTTATTATTTTTTATATTATTTTTTTGTT